GGAGCTGTTAGTAACTCACGATTCCTCAACACCCACCACATCAGCACTTGAAGAAATGGCTCTGTACAGCAGCAAGCGCAAACTCCGACACAGCCGTCGCAGTCTGGAGGCTGCTGTCCCCACATAGAGGGCAACAGGACAGCCCAGCACAGGGCTCTTCACCTTCCTGCACTCCACAGACAGCACTGGACTGGGTCCCACAGCTGCCTCCTTGGCATTGGCTGGGAACTGCGCACCCAGGAGGCGTTGTGGTTAACTAACTTCCTTTAGGCTGTGAACCTCCTTTTTCTCTCACTACCCACAGTGCACTGGGGCATGTGCTGAACAAAACAGGACAGTGCTGGACTTGTAGATGTCTGACGGGGGGGGGCAGGGCAGTGGGCAGCAGCAGTTTGTTAGTCTGTAAATAGTATGTGTGTGTGTGTGTGTGTGTGCGCATGTGTGGGTGTGTGACGCTGCACCTGTTATTCCCTCCACTTGGGTTTTTCAGTGGCTACTATGGGGGCTTTGTTCTGATATGACTTAGCGGAAGGGCCAGCCCTTTACTCCCTTCTAAATCCCACTGATTTGTCAAAAGCCAGCTCCCCCGCAACCATGGAGTGTCATGTCCGTGCAGAGGCAGGGATCTGTGACATCTCTAGAATGCATTGTCCCCATTCCACTCCACCACCAGGCCAACAATCATCTGGCTTGGTGTGACGCTGTTCCTCTGGCAACAGCTCTGCCCCCCAGATGCACATGTAATTCCTGTAGCATAGGCTGTGGTCCATTCTAGGCAAACACACTACATGGGGAGGGGGACATGTGGGGAACAGGTGCTGACTGTCCTGTGTGAGAGTAGCATACATGAGCTGGATGAACTAGAGCAGATGGGAGTGCAAGGCTATAGCAGTGTGTGCATGTGACAGCAGTAGGGACAGACTAGTTGGGGATTAGAATGTGGTGACACAGCAGTAGGCGGTACAAATAAGGAGACAGTGGGGGTAAGGTTATAGTATGGGGTGCAGGGAGTAAGGTGGGATATGGATTGGCTGGGGTCAGGGTGCAGGATGATGATGGTACACAGAGAGTGATGGTGGTGGCAGCAGAAGGTGGTGGCTCTCTCTGTGTTGCCCATGACCACTGAAGTAAAATGTGAGTTTTGAGGGAGGTTGGAGCACAGACAAAGTGAGCACCATGCAGGGAGATAACGGATAACGAGATATGCCGCGCACTAACTACACATCCTACGGTCTCTCTCTGACAACTTGGTGGCGTCCTGACGCTTTACCTACAGATTAGGGCAGACGAGATTCTTTACACATGCACCAAGGACGTTATTGCTGGCTTCCTACCTGGAACAAAGGCTCTGTCAGCCTCAGTACCAAGTGAACCCAAGGATCTGGGCCAGTGACTAGGGGCCTGTGTCTACCAGTGAAATTAGTGTTTCTCTTGTTCTTACTGCCCTCCGCGAGTTAAGCAGCCCTTATCCACACACGCCCCAAATCAAAGCAAGGCATCTGAGCTTGGTCTTGGCAATGGTCTGAGTGATCTTTCCACTCCCTCTAACAAATCGGTGCTCTCTTACTTGCTGATGCCGCCAGCAGTAAGCCCAGAGTTGGCCCTTAATCCTCCCAGTGCCAGGATGTGACTAGGGAGTGGAGGGCACTTCTGCTTGTACATTTACTAAATGACTGGATGCGGTTTCTTTTAGTTGAGAATCTCCTCTCTTCACACCAAATCACATGGCTCATTTTAACTGAATTGATGTTTAATTTTACAGGGCTTGGACAGGGGGAAATCCAATAATCTATCAAACTGCAGCCACGGCTGCTGCCATCATCAGCAATTTGAGCTTTTCCTTTTTAAACCTCATTTTAGTATTTGCTTTTTAACAAAAGCAATTTCTGGAAACAATCATGAATTGGTTTTGGTGACTAACTTGTGATTTTCCTTTCCCTTTGCGGTACCTGGGTGCCAGGCTCTGATCTCTCTCCTCTCCTGAGAGATGCAGAGGAAAAATTAGCTCATCAAGACTGTAACTAGTGAAATTTGTACAACCAAAGAAATCTATTTTGTGGTTCAAGGAGAATAAAGTTTACTTTACATTTTAGAGCCTGTGTCTGTCTGTGGATGAAGCTCTTTCCTCAGGCCAGTGAGCAGCAGAAGAAGGGCTTCTCTCTATTCACTGCTTCTACTTTCAAATCTAGAGAAAGCCAAGTCTTCCAGCATCTCTGCCTCAATGTCCATCACATCTGCCCTGCTATGGTCTCTCCCATCTTGAGACTTCTTTCAGAGATTTCATGGCTAGTCAGCGAATGGCCCCAAACTAATTCCCAGAGCATATTTTTTAGAAAAACATCCAGTCTTGATTTAAAAATTGCCCGAGATGGAGTGGTCACCACAACAACTGGCTAAATTGTTCCAGTGGTTAATTATGCTCATTGTTAGAAAATTACGCCTTATTTCCAGCCTGAATTTGTCTAGCTTTAACAGCCACCCATTGGATCATATTATACCTTTCTCTGCCAGACTGAAGAGCCCATTATTGAATACTTGTTCCCCATGTACATATTTGTAGACCAAATCAAATTATCTTTTAACTGTTCTTTGTTAAACTACATAGATTGAGCTCCTTGCGTCTCTTATACTCCTTGAACTCCTTCCTGTCCCCCCATCACACATCAAGTTGTGCATGTCACCTGCCAATGTAATCACGTTTCACGCTCTCACACACACACACACACACACGCACGCTCTAGAGGGCAGGCTCTCATAGCTGGGGAACCCAGGCTTTCGTGAAGCAACCTGCACAGCAAGGCATCTAGTGGCTACCACAAAAGAATCCTAGCAGTGATAGGGCCCAGATGGCCCATAACTCAGCCCTTCCCTACCCTGGGGTGATGCAGTGTAAGAACAATCCCACCAACTGCCCCCCAGTAAGTATGTTCACATTTGCTTCAGGTGGCTACTTGTCATCTTGATGTCAGCATGGCCACTTTTCAGCAGGCTATAGGGGACATGCTGCCACTACAGGACAGTTGCCTGCTGGGTGCTAGAAGAACTAGGTTCAAGAAAGAAAACTTGGGCAAGCAGCGATGACTAAGTGTGTATGAAAAACAAACAAACCACCATTTCAAGGGTTAGTCCTCCACTATCCATGCCATGGTGCCACAAATCCACCCTGATGCTTGCCACTTGACCTATGGGCATTTGGACTGCATCACATTGGGGACAGGCTGGCTGCATCCCTCCTTGAAACACCCTGCACCCATGCTCAGACAAGGCTATAAAACTAAGGAGCTTTTTATATCAATAATGCAGTCACCTCTATTTTGGGTCTGTAAAACGCCAGTCAGTACCAGATCTGTGCCAGGTTGGCTGCTGGTTCGGCTCATCTGGGCTCAAGCTCATATCCCACTTCCTGCATTCAGTGAGCAAAGCCATGCTTCCACAGAGAGTGCACGCTACCATCCCTCTAGTGCTAGCAGTGGTTTAGCTGCCCTCATATAAATGAGGCCTTGACAGCTTTTGGGCCTTTTAACAATGCCAATTAAATCTGCCTACAGCAAGTGCTGGACGCATCTGGAGCCTTGGCTACACTGCAGCTGCCATAGCCAAACTGCAGCTCTTAAGAGCCAGACTTTTGATTAAAGGGCCTGAGCATGGATAAGGCCTAAGGGCAACCAAGATGCATACACCGAGTCCCTGATAGTGACAATGGGTGCAGCCAGGCACAGGTCAATGCACTGTTTATTAGACTTGTGTGTGCTAGGCCCTGTTAGCGACACCATTAAGACCTGGGTGACGGGTAAAGGTAGGCCGACTCGCTGTTACACTATGCTGGCAGGAAAACAACAGGCTCAATGGGTCTAATGGAAATGGCGCCAAGGTGCAGCCTCCTTCAGCAATTGCACTAAAGCGGTAGTAGAAAAGAAAAAAAACAGGCTACACTAAGTCCAGTGGGGGCAGGGCCGGCTCTGGCTTTTTTGCCGCCCCAAGCAAAAAAGCCTCCGGCCGCCTCCCCCCCGCCCCCAACGTGGGGGGAGGGTGGTCGGAGCCCTGGGGGGAGGGCGGTGAGCCCCGGCCGGGACTCTGCTCTCCCCGGCGGCGAGCCTGGCCATGGCCCCGCTCTCCCCTGCGGCCAGAGCCGGAGCGCTGCGCCGCCCCCCTCCAGGTGCCGCCCCAAGCACAAGCCTGGTGGGCTGGTGCCTGGAGCCGGCCCTGAGTGGGGGGGCGGGGGGGCAGGATCATACACAGAAAGGAGATGACTGCAGGGGTCAGGCAGAGGCACTTTTCTTTCATAGTTCCTGCCTGCTGCTGAGGTATCACAGCTCAAAGGGCAGTCAGTGGCAGCTCCAGGCACCAGCGCTCCAAGCGCGTGCCTGGGGCAGCAAGCCGCGGGGGGGGGGGCGGGGGGGGAGGGGCGGCCTGCCGGTCCCTGCGAAGGCAGCCATCAGGCAGCCTTCGGGGGCATGCTTGCAGGAGGGCCGCTGGTCCCGCGGCTTCGGTGGCAATTCGGCGGTGGGTACGCCAAAGCCGCGGGCACGGCGGACCTCCCACCGGCATGCCGCCGAAGGCAGCCTGCCTGCCGTGCTTGGGGATGGCAAAAAAACTAGAGCCGCCCCTGAGGGCAGGGACTGCAAGAAACGGCCTCATCGTCCTACTCGCTGTCTGAAAGAAAATGAACATCTCACTGAAGGTGACTCACTGTCTGGGGAGACAAGCTGAGCCTGCAAAGGGGGGCCTTGAGTCATAAATGTATAGCCTTGCCCAGAGTGCTGCTGAACATAATTGCAGCCTGCAGTCTTAGCTGTTGGAAGGGTGAGTTCAGCTCAGCTATTTGGCACCTCCCTATCTGCCCTATTATGATCCCTGCACTTTGTGGCCTTCCCTTCAGAAACGCAGAAAGCCAACCCCCAGCGCTGCCCATGATTGGTTACAAAACACAAGCCTTGTAATACAATTTCACTTTAATGAGACACCAGCTGCCACCCCACTTGCTGCCTGTTGCCCCATGCCTACAGGCTGCACTTGGCCAGAATGACCCGAATTGGAAGGAGAATTTGGAGCAATTCCTCAGGGGGCTGGTGACGTTTGATGACAACAAATAATTTAAAGTTTCCAAGTCTAGTTGCTTGAAATTCAGTTGATGAATACTCTGGTCCATCTGTTGTCCTGACTAAGGACAGGTACCTGTAAGAGGAAGGAGACAGGCAGTTGAACAGCACGGTTTATAGGCGTGCTGTTATTGAGCTCACCTGGCCACACTGACTTCTGCTTCTAAAAAGCCACAGGTGGTGCATGGCCACTGGCTCAAGGAAACACAATTCCCCTGGGTAGGGCCAGCAACCTCAGAATACTCAAACAAAGGCACCAAAGTTGCATCTGTGCAAAGCGAACATCTCTGCCTTGATGATTGATGCTAACAATGGTGGAAGGAGAGAGCAGTGAGATGGCAGCTGAAGCCATGAAGAGCTATGAGTTACATAGGGGTGAAGTGTAGACAGTGCCATAAAGACGCCTGAAAGCCCTCAATGGCATGCAAAAGGGGATGCCCTGAGGGAATACTGAGAGTGGTACTGTATCAGAAAAGGGCGTTGGTGACTAAATACTTCTGTGGATCTGGCTCTCACTCCTTTCCCGCACCTTGCTGAGCTTTGGTGAGGCTTTCCTTTTCTCACAGCACCCCCCCCACCCCACCCCCCGCACTGTCTCAGACCCCGTCATGGTTGCTCTGATGCCATTCTGTGGCCCCGCCCTGCATAACCTTATTGCCTTTCATGGTTTCAGGTACCATCTCACCCTCCCCGTCCCAGGCCCTGCTCTAACTCAAGTAACACTGAACTGCAAATCTGGGTCTCCCACATCCCAGCTAATCACTTAGCTATTGGTTATAAACACGCCCACCCACATACTCCTAGCTGGCTTTTGTGGAGGACTTAGGCATGCTCTGACCGGCCTGCCAGCTCAGGGCCCTTAGGCACGATAAGTCAGTGGCTGCAGCGTTTGAGAATGCTGCCAGGCTTAGATGCAACCTCACGTGCTGAGTAGCTGTGTGATGTCAGGGCGTAGGTGGGTAGGGGACTTTACTGGCAGAACCTTTGGGGTCTACAGGGTTATGTGTCAACTGAGCTGGCTCTGTCATGGCAGTGGAGCCTACATTATGGCCTAAAGACACAGCTGCCAAAGTCCTTTTATAAAGCTAGGCCTTTGGGACTGCACCTCTCTCCTGCACATATAAGAAACAGTTCTAGTGTGTTCACAGGGCTTGGCCACACCTTTTTCTAGCTACAGGTCCCATTCGCTGCCTTCAGCAATGCAGAGAACATGGAAGTGCTGCAGTCACACCTTTGCCACTGGAACCCCAGCTTTTATCACAGCAGCAGCAGCAACAAACATCATGGCCCCTGCTCCATCGCCCCCTCAGTGCACTGAGATTTCCATGGCCCAGTCACAGAACGCTTTGACTCTATTTGTTCCTGCTCCCTCTCATGGAGGTGTAACCCTACTGGGGCAAAACAAAGGCCAAGAGATGCTAGATCTACAAGGCCTCTTGGGACCATTCTCGTAGGGGCCAGTGCTGCTTTGTAAGAAAGAGAGACATTTGTTACAGAGGGAGGTCTCTGCACACCCCAACTTTGCTCCAAAGCTATTCAACAGCTCAGGAGCACACGTGGATGCAAGCAACAAGCCATGCTCAAGAATGCATGGAACAAACAGAGGAGCGAAAGAGAGACATGCAAAGGACTCAAGGGTGCAGACCAAGTAACCACCAGGGAAGCAGGTTTTCTCTCTCCTCAACCATCAAGGTTCTCTGGTAACCATCCCCAATCAGCTGGATAAGGCTTCAAAGAAGGAGCGTACCACATAAAGGTAGATAAAAAGCAGGAATTTTTTTCAAAAATCAATTTTAAAATAAAATTAAAAAAATCAATTATTGTAAGTAAGTTCTTTTAAAAACTAAACCTATTCAAATTTAAATTTGAGACTATCTGTGTTAATGCCTGAACTTGTTATACCCATTACATAAATAAAAATAAATATGCTGAAACAACAAACTTTTTCACAATCAGCTTCAGGGAAGACAAACTTTCTGCATATTGCCTGGGTAGAATCAAGACCCCTGCAGTGTGCACCATTGGAATGGGCTGGCACGCACTCACACCTCTCTGCCTCTCCTCCCATCCTGGAGAGTTCCAGAGGCATAAAAGACAGCATAATCCAAACCAGTAGTTCTCAACCAGGAGTCTGCAGCCTCCTGGGGATCTGCAAGTTGGTTTCAGGGGGCCACAGGGCCCCATGGCTCCAGCCCGGCACCCTAAGCCCCGGCACTTCTATGGGGCTGAAACCAAGAGCAGAGCCACGTTGAGACCCGAGCCCCAGCACTCCCCTCCCCTCCCCGCACCCCCCTGGGATAAAACCCCTAGCCCCGGTGCTCCTCCACGGGGCTGAAGCCCAGCGCCCTGAGCTACAGCGCTTCCCGCAGGGCTGAAGCTGGGAGCGGTCCCCATGCGCCGAAAGCCTGGAGCCCCAGTGCCCCTGCGCGGCTGAAGTCCCAAGCTCCACCCCGCCCAGAGCCCCAGCACCCCATGTGGCTGAAGCCCTGAGCCCCCCCACACCCAACACCGCGCAGGAAAGAAAGTCTGAGCTGAGCCCTGCCCCGCTCAGAGCCAACACATGGGGGCATTCCGAGTCAAGTGACCCCCCTCCAGATTTCTGCTCTGGCTTCCCCCCAGGCAGGCTTGGCCCTAGGGTGACCAGACAGCAAGTATGAAAAATCGGGACAGAGTGTGCGGGGGTAATAGGTTTCCATATAAGAAAAAGCCCCTAATATCGGGACTGTCCCTATAAAATCGGGACATCTGGTCACCCTACTTGGCCCTGTCCCTGGCAGCCAGGCCTGGGTGAGGAGTGGAGGGGATGGGACCAGCCATTGTTGTGTGGCCGCTGTGGACCGCTGCTCTGTGCAGTGCGGCGACTGCCTGAGAGAGCCCATTTGGGGAGGTAGCGGTGGTGCCGGGCCGCTCCCCACCCAGGCTGGTTGCCGGCGCAGGGACGAGCAAGACGGAACCCATTTCCCCCCGGCACGTTTCCGACTCGCTCGGTCCCTGTCTCCGGCAGCCAGACCTGGGGGGGGGGGGCGCCACCCCCCCAAATGGGCTCTCTCAGGCAGCCGCCGTGCTGCACGGAGCAGCGACCTGGAGCGGCCAACTTCAGCCAGCATGAGAAGTGGCTCCCTAACGCTCCCCACCGGCTGAACATGCTGGGGGGAGGCGCAGTGGGAGAAGTGACTGTCTGCAGTGTGTGTTTGTTTGTGTTTGGGGGTTACTTGCTGTGTGCTGAGCTTGTGTTTGGCAGTCTGTTTGTTTGTTTGGTTGTTTGAAGCACCGTGTGCTGTGGCTGGCAGTTGGAAGCTGTGAGCTTCAAAGGAAGGTTTGAAACCTAGAATCCTCTGGTAATTGGCTGAGCCTTAATCAGTGGGCGGGGCATTCATACAGGCCAGGGCTTTATAAAGCAGCGCACAAGCGACCAGGGAGCTTTTGCGAACAGGGGCTGCTAACAGGGAGTTTCGCAAGGGAGTTGGGAAGGGGAGTGGGAAGGGGCGAGGGTCCCTTGCCGGTTCTATTTGTTTTCCCTTTATTCCCCTTAAAACTTTAAACTTCTTGCTTAAACAACCCTTTCAGCGGACAGAGGGCTGCAGACGGGAGTTTGACAGAGGGAGGCTTACGATGGTTAGGAAGACCCGCAACACCTGTGCCAGCACTGCTTCTGTCTCCTCCACCTGCGCCTGTAGCCAGACAGAGCGCCTGAGCATGGATGCTTCTACCCAGATCCTGGTGTGGTTTTGCAGAGACTGTAACTTGCAATTTCCACTTACTGATATCCAGGCTAGGGGGACCATCCAATGTGAAAGGTGCCTGCTGGTGGAATCTCTCAGGCAGCAGGTGGGAGAGCTACAGGGGGAGGTGGCTAGGTTGAGAAGCATCCGAATCCACGAGCAATTCCTGGACAGTGTCCATGTGGAGACAGCTGAGGTAGCTGTCCCAGTACACAGGACTGCTGATACACCACTGGTGGAGGAGGAGATGGCTCAGGGTGGACACTGGCAGCTGGTTACTTCTGGCAGCAGGCAGTGCTCCACCCCTGCTCCGAACCCTCCCGCCGTGGTACTAGGTAACCGTTATGCTCTTCTTGATACAGGAAAGAAGGCATCACCCCCTACAGTAAAGGAGGAGAAGCCTCGTACCCCTAAGGCTGGGAGGTCTGCTGCCACCACTGCGAATAGGAAACGTAGGGTAGTGGTGGTCGGAGACTCTCTGCTGAGGGGGACAGAGGCGCCCATCTGTCGCCCTGACATTTCATCTCGGGAGGTATGCTGCCTGCCGGGAGCCCGTATCCGAGACGTTACGGAGGCACTGTCGAGGATTATCCAGCCCTCTGACTACTACCCCATGCTACTCATCCATGTGGGCACAAATGATACTGCGCGGTGTGACACTGAGCGGATCAAGAGTGACTACAGGGCTCTGGGAGTACGGGTGAAGGAGTTTGGAGCGCAGGGGGTATTCTCTTCGATTCTTCCTGTCAAAGGTAGGGGCCCGGGCAGAGACAGATGCATCATGGAGGTGAATGCCTGGCTGCGAAGATGGTGTCGCCAGGAGGGCTTTGGCTTCCTAGACCACGGGATGCTATTTGAGGAAGGACTGCTAGGCAGAGATGGCGTTCACCTTTCGAGGAGGGGAAAGACCCTATTTGGACACAGACAGGCTAACCTAGTGAGGAGGGCTTTAAACTAGGTTCGACGGGGACAGGTGAGCAAAGCCCGCAGGTAAGTGGGGAACATGGAGACCTGGGAGATGGGTCAGAAACGAGAGGGAGTGTGGGCTATATTGGCAGAGAGAAAGGAGGGTCAGGACAAAACCGGGAGGAAAGATCAAACCAGTATCTTAGATGCCTATATACAAATGCGAGAAGTATGGGTAATAAGCAGGAAGAACTGGAAGTGCTAATAAATAAATACAACTATGACATTGTTGGCATCACTGAAACTTGGTGGGATAATACACATGATTGGAATGTTGGTGTGGATGGATACAGCTTGCTCAGGAAGGATAGACAGGGGAAAAAGGGAGGAGGTGTTGCCTTATATATTAAAAATGTACACACTTGGACTGAGGTAGAGATGGACATAG